CAGATTCTCTCCAATATTCTGGAATAATATTAAAAAAATCACTTCATAAAGCAACCTTGTTGCCATCGCACCGGCAGCCCATACGAAAATGCGTTTTTTGCACTATTTTCCCCGCGGATATCTGTAGATAGCAGAACCATCATTCGGCGGATGTTTCTCGCTAAAAGTAGCCCCCAGGCTGGAACGCACCAGGCTTGCCGGTGCGGTCATGCGTTTTTGCACTAAACTCGCAGAACGCTAATAGGAGGAATGATCTCTGCGCTGCAGTCTAACACCTGTGCTCATATTGACCGCGCTCTGCCATCTTTCGGCATGCAGGAGAAAGGGCGTCAGCTGTGATGAAGGTGTTGCGTTATAAGACCACATGAACCTCCAGGTACATGATTACCAGTTTTTTGCATGAAGCCGGTCGTTTTTTAGATAAAGATTCGCATTTTGAACCCAGGCTGGAACACACCAGGTTCTTCGGTGCGATCATGCTTTTTTGCACTAAACTCGCAGATCGCTATTGGCAGGAATGATCCCTACGCTGTAGCCTAACACCTGGGTCATATTGGCGTGCTTTGATCCTTTCCGACATGCAGGAGGAAGGGCGTCAGCTGGGATGAAGGTGGTGCATTACAGAGCCGCACGGACATCCAGGTGCATGATTGCCGGTTTTTTGCATGAAGTCCAGTCGTTCTTCCGGTAAATGCTCGCTTTGTGTAAAAAGTGACAAATGCAAATTTTTTGAAAAAATGCAAATTTCCAGTCCACTAAAAAGTGGAAGTATTGCTCGAACGGTCGTTTTTCAAAAAATCCATATTCATTTACATATACGATTGCGGCTCAGGTCGGAGTTGCTAACGATTTTTGGGTTGAGGAGCTGCTTGAGGCTGTGGTTGGGAGGCTAGACAGCTGAGTTTAAAATTTTCAGCTCGCACGTGCATAGAGAATATCCCTGCAAAGTTTCAGCTTTCTACCTTGCATGATTCGTGAAATCGTTTCTCGCCAACACATTTCTTTGAAGGTCCCGTACGTGGGGTCTAGGCGCA